GGGAAGTGAGATGGGAGCTATCAGTGAAGCTCTTTCCACATTCCATGCACTGATAGGGTTTCTGCTCTGTATGAATTCTCTGATGCCTAGTGAGATCGGAGCTCTTCCTGAAGCTCTTTCCACATTCCACGCACTGATAGGGTTTCTCCCCTGTATGAATTCTCTGATGCCTAGTGAGAGAGGAGCTATCAGTGAAGCTCTTTCCACATTCCACGCATTGATAGGGTTTCTCCCCTGTATGAATTCTTTTGATGCTTAGTGAGATCGGAGCTCGTACTGAAGCTCTTTCCACATTCCACGCACTGATAGGGTTTCTCCCCTGTATGAATTCTTTGATGGGAAGTGAGAGAGGAGCTCTGACTGAAGCTCTTTCCACATTCCACGCACTGATACGGTTTCTCCCCTGTATGAATTCTTTGATGGGAAGTGAGATGGGAGCTGTAATTGAAGCTCTTTCCACATTCCATGCACTGATAGGGTTTCTCCGCTGTATGAATTCTGTGATGGAAAGTGAGAGAGGAGCTATCAGTGAAGTTCTTTCCACATTCCATGCACTGAAAGGGTTTCTCCCATGTATGAATTCTTTGATGGGAAGTGAGAGAGGAGCTCTGACTGAAGCTCTTTTCACATTCCATGCACTGATACGGTTTCTCCCCTGTATGAATTCTTTGATGGGAAGTGAGATGGGAGCTGTAATTGAAGCTCTTTCCACATTCCATGCACTGATAGGGTTTCTCCCCTGTATGGATTCTTTGATGGGAAGTGAGATGGTCGCTCCTACTGAAGCTCTTTCCACATTCCATGCACAGATAGGGTTTCTCCCCTGTATGAATTCTTTGATGGGTATTGAGATGGTCGCTCCTACTGAAGCTCTTTCCACATTCCATGCACAGATAGGGTTTCTCCCCTGTATGAATTCTTTGATGGGTATTGAGATGGTCGCTCCTACTGAAGCTCTTTCCACATTCCACACACAGATAGGGTTTCTCCCCTGTATGAATTCTTTGATGGGAAGTGAGAGAGGACCTTGTACTGAACATCTTTCCACATGCAATGTGCTGATAGGGTTTCTTTCCAATGAGATTTCGTTTATGGGAAGTGGAATGGGAGCTCTGACTGCAGCTCTTTCCACACTGCAAATTTTTACGCGCCTTCTTCACTCTGCACATTGTGTTGTGGTCTCCTTTATTCTTGCTTTCCAATTCATCACAATCTGCAATGGAGAGAAAAAGGGATTAGAGCCTCAGGAACAAATGGAGCCCCCAGTTAGGAAATAATGCTCATTAAATTTGTTGTAGAGAAGGCAGTTGGCTGTGTGTTTATTACCTTTGTTATTTGTAATAAACCAATGTATTTATTATTGGATTCTAATCGATGGTTGAATTTTGATTTGTTTGAAGTAAGTTACTCATTTTAATTTTTTTGTACTTTTTTCATTAGATTAGATTGTTGTTATTATTACTGTTTCATGTTTATACCGTAGCACCTCAGGTTACGTAACCCTCTGGTTACGTAAACATCAGCTTATTAAAGCGGCAGAACAGTGATCCTTGGGTTGCAAAAACCTCGGGATCTGGCCGGACCTCCGGAACGGATCCCATTCGCAACCAGAAATGCGACTGTATATGTGTTGGAAGCTTCCCAGATTGACTGGAGCAACCCAGCCAGATGGTCAGCGTATACATAAAAAATATTATTATTGCTATTATTAACACTGCTAGTACTACCTGAGATTCAATCAGCCTGGCTCTTCTCTGGGGCAGATGTTCTTTGGCCCAGTCATGGCATCCCTTCCATCTCCAATGTCAGTCATCTCTCTGGCCAACCCAAGACTGACAGCAGCAAAAACAGTAACAGAAAACCTTACAGAAGCTACTTATCTTTTCTAACAACTCTGAAGCTGACATTTAAGATGCCTGGGCAGTTCAGATCAGCCCAACTGTGGTAGAGGGTGGCAGAACTGGAGGAAGATTGTTCACAGAAAAAGCTGTAATTTACTATTTCTTCTGGGGGTGTTAGGTTTCCAGGTGTTGTAATGGGCACTGTGAAACTATATGAGGTTTATCACATAGAGGTATTTCTTGAATTTCCTGGCAGATAGGACGATCCCACACGGATGCTTACCAAGAGAGGCCACGATCCCCCAATTCTCCTCCATGACGTCCTTATGCAGAGCTCTCTGGTCAGGATCCAGCAACGCCCACTCCTCGTCCGTCAAACGAACAGCGACATCTTCAAAGCACACTGGACCCTAAAAGAAAAAGGGAAATGTCCTCCTCTGAGACAGCAGAAATATGATCTGCTACACAATGCTCTGTGGTTTTCTTCCTGTTAATTGCTGTGTTATTTCAATAAGATTGCTTTGCTGCACATTTTAATTATGGGCACCTATTTTAATGCTTTAATTGAATTCTTTCATTCTGCATTTTAACTATGGGAATTCGTCTTTGTGCAAATAGGTGGTACTCCACCTTGTGGTTTTCAAATCATTCTGCCTACGCAAGCATTCCAGTTTGCCAGATGGAAGGGTTCACTTTCTCCTCTCCTCGTGAGTTGTTCTGTAGAGGTTCCCTTCCAATGCCCTAGAGCCAAATTCAAGGGGTTCATGGGGGCATGGAGAGGGGGAGATGAATCCTACTGGCTGTTACGATATGGATACAACGCAGCTGCAAACTGGCAGCTCGGTGTTTACATCACATGATGTGGCTAGCTATGGGAAAGAATGTTCCAGGGATTTCTCAAAGCTTTGTTCTCAGTGTAATATGAGACCTTCCTGTTGCGTTTGTAAAGGAAGTTTGAGTCACTTGCTAGGAGGAGATTGAACTGATCGGACATGTTTTCTGTACAACTGAACAGTCAGAAATAAAAGGATGTAAATAGCTTTCTGACTATCTCCTTTCTCTTGCTGGTATGCAAGGATGGAGGGGGTGTGCATTTTCCACGCTGGGAAATGTCGCCTATCAAGATTTCCCAGGACTGTGGGGATACCAGCCAGAGGAGATCACCGGTAAGAAGCTCCGGGAGCTGGGAGAGAGGCCAGCTTCTCCCGAGGGGGCTAGTTTGCCAACACTGGCAACATTCAGAAGGCTGGTATGACAGAGCTATACGGGCAGGAAATCCCACACTTCACAGCTGGAGTTTACTCTTTATCAGCAAGAACACAATATTCACAGACTTGGCTGAGTTTCAGGCCTTATGAGAACAACAACTCATTCCCTGAGCGTCTTCCTTAACTAAATCAGTTGCCGAGAGTGAAGGCCCCTGGCTGCCCACAGCTTTCCAGGTCCCCTCCTCTCTGGGGTTTCTGGCAAGCGACTGAACAGTGCGCAAGAGTGCAGCCTGCCTTTGCTCCTCTGTTGTCAAACGTTTCCTGGCTCTGAGAGACACACAGGGAGGGTGGCTTCTGGGAGAAGGAGAGGGAGCCCCCAGTGGCTCCTCCTTCTCCTGACTCACCTCTGACTCTAGACCTCCCTCCTCCCACTCACCTCCTTCCTCTTCTGCCTCTGATTCTGGATAGCATTCTGCCACAGAGTCTTCCAGCTCACTAAGCCCTGTTACCCCTTCAGCTTCTGACACCTCCTCTTGCCAGTCTTCTCCCTCTGACCGCTCATCCTTCCTCCACCTCCACTCCTTGGGCTCTGAGACGTCTTTGTTTCCTGGTTCCCAGGCTGCTTCCTCCCACCATTTCTCTGTGCCCAACCAGTCCATGACATTGCTCCATCCCTCGGCCTCTGTCCCCACAAGGCAGCTTCCCCTGACCTGATCTGGTGCCACAGCCACTGTTTCACTTCTGCCCCCATGAAAAGATAAATATGGGGGTCTTGTTGGCTTCATTCTTTCATCTGCCTCACAGGAATCCAGATCCATTTCTGCAAAATGATCTCTTTTCTGAAAGAACAACAAAAATTCAAAACAGTAAATGAATGATGAGAAATATTAAAAAGAGAACGACAAAGACAGAAACTTTAAGGATGTTAGATCTCATTCCCAGAAAAAGGATGGGACATCAGCACATCATTTTTGGATGTTCTCCATCCTGTTTGGAGCCCCTTGGGAGTATCCAGAGGAAAGTCTCTCTCACCTGCTTTCTCTCTGCCTCCTCTCTCTCCTCTGCCTGACTCAGGAGTAAACCTTCGGCCAGGGCCACCGCCTGGGAACTGGTCTCCGCTCCACAGTCCCTCACCCAGCTCTCCATCTCCGGTGGAAGGACAGCCAGGAACTGCTCCAAGATCACCAGATCCAGCATCTCAGCTTTCGTGTGCCTTTCTGGCTTCAGCCACTGGTGGCAAAGGTGGTAGAGTCGGCTGCAAACCTCTCGGGGTCCTTTGGCCTCCTGGCAGCAGAACTGCCTCAACTGCTGGCTCTGAACCTCTGAGCGGAGGGCGTCCTCCTCACCCAAGATCTTCTGCACAGAGTTTTCCCAGAATCCCCCACTGCTCCCAGTTTGGATTGCATGGCCTCTTCCTGCTTCAGGGCCAGCTGTGTCTCGCTCATCCATCTGTGCTCTCAGGAAGCCTCTGAGAGATGGGAAGGAACCCTTTGGTCTTCTGCCAAGTTCTGTCCGTCTGAATGAGAAGCTCTAGCAAATCCTACAAAGCAATTACATAGTTCTGTTACAAAAGCTGTACAATATCAGGAGAAGAAAAAGTTTCCCTGAGCAAGCATGGGTGAGTCTTGCTGGGAACCAGGGTAGGACTGCACCACAGCCCAGACTCTGAGCTATCTTTCTAAAAAGGAGGAGGAGGAGATGTAGGCCTCTAGAAGGGAGATTGTGGAAATGTGGAGGCAAGCGAAGAGATTAATGCGAGGCGAATCAGCCTGGTTGCTCCTTCCTTCCAGTCAATGCATGAAGTCAGAACTGATTGACAAGGGAGTCATTGGTGCCTCGTGAAAAATGACTAGGTGTGTTGAATCCGAATCTCCTTTCTTGTAGCTTGAAGCCATTGGTTGGAATCCTCCCCCCCAGGTGACATGGCTCTCCTATCTCCTGTCTCCTCTTCTCCAACTCAACATACCCAGCTCCTCATAAAGCTTGGCTTGATCTGCTTGGCTGGCCTCCTCTGCCAATAAGGAGAAAGAAAGAAGGGAAACAAAGGAAGAGGTTTTGGGAGCAACCATTCATACGTGTTTCCTCTGTTGTGGAATGACGCTGACCCGTGTCACACACAGCAGAAGTCCTACTGATAGCCTTATTTAAAGAAGCGAGATTTCTATCTGCTAGATTTCCCAGGGGCTCTGAGTAATTTATTTTCTGGAAGGGGGGGCAGTAACCTCCTCCCCTCCCCCCTCCACAAAAGATCTAAAGGAAGGAGACAGTTCCTGCCACCTCGCCCCTCCCTGGCAGGACCCCCTGCTCCCAGGGGCTCCCCCCACATGAGCCACCCTCCCCTCGGGCAGCCCTGGGCCCCCCTCCTTCTCCCCACTGCACCCTGGGGGGGGAGGAAGAGACTCACCAGATCCCCCTGGAAGAGAGCAAGGCAGCCTTTGCAATAGCTGAAAGCAACCCGCCCCCCCTTACAGGAAGGGGAGGGAGGGGCTTTTCCTCTGGAGGACCCGGCCCCCTCTTACTTCCTGTCCTCTCTAGGAATGCAGCTCATTTCCCTTTAACCCTTGCAAAGCCGAGTCCACCCTGCTCAGTCCTCTCTGCCTTTTCTCTCCTGCGTTGCAGAATCCCAGAGATGCTCATTTTGAGGGGACGCTCTTGGTTGGTCTGTGATCCGCTCCCTCCCTTGGCCAGAAACTGGAGGAAGAGGTTGCAGGGAAAAGGGGGTTGCAGGAAGCAAGGAACCTCATCCTAGAATGGGAGGGAGCCCTAAGGGTCATCTATTCCAGCCCCCCTGCAAGGCAGGAATCTCACCGACAGCATCCAACCTCTGCTTAAAAACCTCCAAGGAAGGAGAGTCCGCCATCTCCCAAGGGATTCTGCTGCTCTTCCCCTCAGAAGGTTCTTCCTGCTGTTTAGGCAGCAGAAACTGCTTTCTGGTCCTCTGGGTCCCTTCTTCTGGGTGCTCCCCTCTAGGGCAGGAGAAAACAAGCTGGCTCCCTCTTCCATGGGTCAGCCACCTGCCACAAGACGAAGCAAGATGGAATCCCCGATCAAAATAGAATCCAAACTTTTATTAGCTGCTCATCCCCATGTTATTCACCCCCCAGCTACATCACTCATACATCATGAAAGGGGAGGTCTGGTGGCTGTAATCTGAGCATCCTGGACGCTGCCCCATGGTTCCCCTTGCCCTCCTCCAAACACCCATCAAATGTAACAAAATAGATACTTACATTTCCCTGTTTCCCAGCCAAGTCAATCACACCCTTTTGTCTCCATCTGGGTTTGTTATTTCTGTCTGGCACTCAGGTATCAGGATGCCAGAAATTATCCCTCAGGCAGAGGGGCTGCTGAATAGCTGAGCTCACATGTCTATATGAATTTCTGAAGTTTTTCAAGTGAGCCAGTACACAGATACATTTATCAGTGAATTCTTACATTTGGTATTGTGCAGCAGAGGCCCTTTGAATAGATAGAAAGAAACTGTGATGAAGTGTTTTGTGGGGACAAGTCACAAAAGTCACAAAAGTGATGGTGCTTATTTTGGTAGTGGGCTGCATGTGCATGATATCTGCTGCAGGGGCAAGCCCCCCCCCCAATTATACATAAATTCCTGCAACATTTTGCCTTCCAATGTCCGGCTATACATCTTGACTCATCCTCCAAACTTTGCTGGGGGGCTGTGTTCCCCCTCCCAAAGCAGGGACACACTCTTAGCACCCGAAAGCTGTACCACCTCATTGCTGCTGCCGGGGGTGAGAGGGTTTATATAGTGGCGGGTGATGCCCTTTTGGAATATTTGGCCAATTAAGTGAGGCGGGGAATCCCTCAAGGGACGGAGCAGCAGCTGATTTGCTACCTGTGCTATGACACCCTCCTCTCAGCTGAGCAGGTGCCCTGGGGGGACCTCAGAGGGGCTGATAAATCCCACAAAGGAAGTGGCTCCCAGGTAGGACTGCAGTCAGAATCGGAGAGCCTTCAAGGTGCCGCACAGGACTGTTAAGAAGCCCCCCCCAAAAAAAACACACACAAAAACCCCCACCTGTGATCATCTTCTAGCTTGGTTTCTTTCCCCTTCCTGTTCCCTGGATTCTCACAGAGAGAAGAAGGGGAGACAAGTGACAACAGGAGCCACCTTCTTGCCAAGCCATTCCATGGGTGAGAGTTGCTGGAGACAGGGGCGGGACCTGTTGGCCGTGAATATTTGGATTGGCTAAGCAGATGAAATGGGCAGAAGCATCTCACACAGTGGGAAAGACAGCCATATTGACTATGGCAGGCATAGGCAAACTCGGCCCTCCAGATGTTTAGCACTACAATTCCCATCATCCCTGACCACTGGTCCTCTTAGCTAGGGATGATGGGAGTTGTAGTCCCAAAACATCTGGAGGGCCGAGTTTGGGGATGCCTGCACTATGGGTTGTGGACTCGCCATCTTTGGCGGTCTTCACATACCTGTCAACTGTCCTGCTTTGAGTGGGACGTCCTGCAATTCCAGAAGCCACCCTGGCTTCTGATTGGCTCCTAAGGTGTCCTGTTTTGGCTCCCGTGAAACTGTGGACCCAAAAGGCGCCCATTTTGGGGGGTCCTTGCTCTTGCGTGAGTTACGTGACTCATTCAGGAGCATGGCCCCAGAAGTCGCCGGTCCCAATTTCCCTCTGAAACATGTTGGAGTGTAGGCAGAGTTTGGGAGGACCACTCCATTCATATTCTATGGCTGTGGGTGACAGGAGAAAGAGTGGACTATGTCAGAATCTTCGGAGGGCCCTTTTTGGAATATTTGTCCAATTAAGTGAGGTGGGGAATCCCTCAAGGGGTGGAGCAGCAGCTGATTTGCTACCTGTGCTATGACACCCTCCTCTCAGCGGAGCAGGCGCCCTGGGGGGACCTCAGAGGGGCTGACAAATCCCACAAAGGAAGTGGCTCCCAGGTAGGACTGCAGTCAGAATCGGAGAGCCTTCAAGGTGCCACACAGGATTGTTAACAAGCCCCCCCCCAAAAAAAAAACAACAACCACCACCTGTGATCATCTTCTAGCTTTGTTTCTTTCCCCTTCCCGTTCCCTGGATTCTCACAGAGAGAAGAAGGGGAGCCAAGCCATTCCCATGGGAGAGAGTTGCTGGAGACAGGGGCGGGACCTGTTGGCCGTGAATATTTTGATTGGCTAAGCAGATGAAATGGGCAACCGTAAGGCAACAATAAACGGTGGGTTCTGGGTTCTCCTTAACAAAGCTTCTAAGTGTATTGGGAGACTCCAAAGAATCCAGCCTGTTTACTTGGAGAATGGTCCACAGGGCAATCAAGGGCAGCCTAAAAGATCCTGACTTGCACCACATCCAGAGCTCTGGCATTCTAGGGTGAGCGTGTTGAGAAGAAGTAGCTTTGTGCAGGGGAGACCCTCTCATGGACCTCAACGAGAGGGAAGTTGCCCTCAAGCCAGTTGCAAAGTTGTGCCATTGTTTTGGACATGTTGTGGAAACAAAGAGGCTTTGGGTGTAGTGTAATTCTACTGCACCCACATTCTCCCCCTAGAACCACAGAATTGTGTCGTTGGAAGAGACCCTGAGGGCTGTCTGGTCCAACCCCTTGCAATGCCGGGAATCTCAACTACAGCACCCAGGACAGACGGCCACCCAACTTCAGGATCAGAACCTCCAAGGAAGGAGAGCCCACCACCTTTGCACTGTCGAGCAGCTCTTACTATCAGGACGTTCTTCTTGATGTTTAGTTGCAATCACTTTTCTTATAACTTGAAGCCATTGGTTCGAGTCCTACCCTCCAGAGCAGGAAGAAGGAGGAGGAGGAGGAGGAGTTTGGATTTGACATCCCGCTTTATCACTACGGAGTCTCAAAGCTGCTAACATTCTCCTTTCCCTTCCTCCCCCACAACAAACACTGTGAGGTGAGTGGGGCTGAGAGACTTCAGAGAAGTGTGACTAGCCCAAGGTCGCCCAGCAGCTGCATGTGGAGGAGCGGGGAAGCGAACCTGGTTCACCAGATTACGAGTCTACCGTTCTTAACCACTACACCACACTGGAGAAAACAAGCTTGCTCCATCTTCCATGGGGCAGCTCTAGAGAGATTTGAAGATGACTCTCAGATCCTGTCTCAGTCTCCTCCTTCCCAGGCTAAGCACCCCCAGCTTCTCCATACCCTTCTTCAACTGGGGTGCCCAGAATAGAACCCAGGACTCTAGGTGGGGTTTGACCAGGACAGAATAGATCAGTACTATGACTTCCCTTGGACACTGCAGGCCAGAATTGGACTCATGAAGACTGTCTGCCAGCTGTCCAGTCTCCTCTGTGTAAGCAGAGAAGCTATGAAGAACAGGAAAAGCCCAGCCCCACCCAGAGCTTTCCTGGGGCAACTCACTAGGCCATCTGCACCAAGGAACTGGTAGAGTTTATATTGTTTTTCTTTGGGTTCTGCACTTGCCATAAGTGCACTTCTCATCTGTTTCTTATCCAAACAAAGTGACTGGATCAAAGGTATGAGCTCCGCAGCCCATGCAAGGATTAATTAGGAAAGGGGTGGGAAATAAAGGGGACGCTGCGGCGAAGGCGGAGACCCTTTAAAAATCCCAGGTGGAGGAAGCCTGGGAACGTGGGATTCGGCTGACACCAGGAGCGCGCCCCCTACTCGCAGGGAAACCCTTTTTCGCGGGTCCGAAGCGACGTGGGGTGAGTGGCACGGTGTTTTGAATCAACTGCTACTTTTATGGAGTGAAGCCGCACAGCCGTTGCCGGAGAGCGCTGACCTTTTCCTGTGGACAATTGGACTCTAAACAAGTACCCGTGAGTTGGACGGAAAATTGGATTAAGTATTAAGAAATATCTTAATTTGGCACCGAAATGGGAAGGTTCTAAACAGGAAGTCTGCCTCCCGTTTTTTGTAAATAGATTGAAGCAAAAACTTTGTAAGCTAAAGTCTGGAAAGTCGTATATAAAGTTCTAAATTTCCTTCATTCATCACCACCAAAACCCCTCTTGGAAGCAGGAGAAAAGAGGGGGATTTTTGACTGTTTAAGCCTGCAGGAGAGAGAGTAAAGAAAGATAAATTTTCCACTGTTTCAAACCTGGGAACGGGGTGTCAGAGACAGAAATTTATGGCGAAAGTTCATCAACTGTGAACGGAACATCTTTTGACAGATAGTTAAAAAAAAAGAGAAATATATTGATTCCAATGTTGCTTCTTGCAATCAAAAGAAACAAAGTATTTGAAAGGTGAAAGTAATTTTTCCTTGTTGGTCCTGCTTTTAAAAGATTGATACAAATAGAAATTGTCTCCTCTAGAGGAGCTTGTTAATTTGTTGCTGGAGCTGATCTGGGGACCTCACAGCTGTATGATTCGGATCGTGAGACCAGACTCTAACCTTGGGGGGAAAAATGTGTTCCAAGAAGTCTTGGTGCTTGCTTTTTGCAAGACAAGTGCTTTGCTGGAGCAGATGCATGAGAAGATGGATTTGATGACTGTTGCAGTTAAAAACTTTGGACAAACGACGAATACCCATATAGAAACCATTCAGGAACCAGCCCAGGAATCTGTTTTGATAGGGCAAGCTCAAGGGCAGAAGAAAATGGAGGAGGTTGTTGATGAACCTCAAATAACACAAATGGAGAGACCCGAGGCCTTGCAGGAGTATAAGCCGTTGTTCTTGAAGTTCGAATCTGGAGTGGACCAGGGGGGGGTCTGGAGTTGTGAGGGCTCTTAATTTTGGAAAGACTCTGAAACATGCCTTTAACTACTTTCTGGATTGCAGTGTTGACTGTGGGGAATGGGACTGTGGGGAATGGGCTGATC